AAACATTCACCATGGGGGGACTTTGGTTAACAAGCCTACGCCTATGTATAAGGGTGGTGAAGTAAATAATTTGGAAATAGATCCTGATTTCATATGCTACCCTCATTTAATGAAGTTCCTCAAATCGGGTATGTATGGGAATATCCAAGGGATTTATTTTAAGAAACCATCAACCCGTATGGATACTCTATATGAGCTGTTTAACGATGAGTCAACTTTACATTTAATAGACATTGGTAGAAGTTGTGGACAGTGTGATGTGTATGTACAACATGGTTTGGATGAAGTTGATTTGATAGACTTCCTCCCATTACCACAACCAGACAATGCATCTTCTGCAAATGCAGAAGAAGAAAGGGCTGGTGGAAGTGATTCACATACAGAGCCTAATGAAGAGGGAGATCCTACTGTAATGGGTACTGAGAGTGAAGAAAAGGATGCTGAAGAGGCTAATGAAGAAGGAGATGATGAGAGTGATTCACTGGAAATTGAGAATGAAGAAAGGAATGCTGAAGAGCATGAAGACCATGGCTTACAGTCAGATGATGAAGATCTTTGGGAGGTTCCATTAGAATCAGATGGTAATATTGCAGATGAAGAACATATTGACACTTCAAATATTGATGGTGAACCTGGGTTCGGGGATGATGCCACTGATGAGCCACATCAAACAAATGAAGAATTAGGAGGTTCTGATCCTGAGTACTGCAGCACTGAATATGACTCAGATAATCCATCTAGCTTGGAGTCAGAAGAGGATCCAGAAAGTGGTGTTGTCAACACAAAAAAGAAGAAGTGTCACCATCCTGTGTACAACCCTCATTCTGAGCCTCCATTAATTGAGTTGGCAATGCTATTTGAGGATGGTAGGGAGTTTAAGAATGCTATGATAAGGTATGCAGTCCATAAGAAAACAGACATTTATTTTGCGAAAAATGAGCCTTTAAGAGTTCAAGTGAAGTGTGGTCCCACATGTCCCTTTGGGTGCACTGCCAGTTGGGAAAGAAGTTACAAATGCTTTCAAGTGAAGGTGTTAAGGCCAGAGCATTTGTGCAATTCCAAGTTCAAACTGAGGGTTGTTAGCCAGAAGTGGTTGGAGGACAAATTTGAAGACAAGGTGACAGAAAACCCATGCATTGGTGCTGTGGAATTCAAATCCTTGGTCAAAGCTGAACTGAAGATCAACATTTCAATAAGCATGGCTACTAGAGTTGTGAGGGGAATACAAGAAAAAACAAATGCATCATTTAAATATCAGTTTTTGAGAATAAGGAATTACGCTGAAGAGTGTTTGAAGTCTATTCCTGGTAGCACTGTGGTAGTGAAGACTGATAGGGTTGTCCCAGATGGTCCACCTATATTCCAGAGAATTTATGTTTGTTTTGGGCCGATAAAAAAGGGTTTTGGCGAAGGATGTAGAAAGGTTATTGGGGTGGATGGATGTTTTCTAAAAGGCCAGCTGAAGGGTGAAATTCTTACAGCCGTTGGAAGGGACGCAAACAATCAGATGTATCCTATTGCCTGGGGTGTTGTGGAAATTGAGAATAATTCGTCTTGGACTTGGTTTCTTGAGTTGCTTAAGCAAGACCTCAATATTGAAGAACCTGGAGACTGGACTATTATCAGTGATCAACAAAAGGTTCATTTATATTTTACAAATTTTATGATTCAGTTGAAAATAAGAGGCAATTCTTTATTGTCCATATTGTAATGTTTTTTAACTTTCTTTTCCATATTATTTTCAGGGTCTAGCTAATGTTATTCAAGATGTATTTGGAGGGGTGGAACACAGAAACTGTGCAAGACACATACACGCTAATTGGAGCAAAACACACAAGGGCTTGGTTTTGAAAAAGCTTTTTTGGAGGGTTGCTAAGTGTACATCTGAAGAAGAATTGAAGGTTACTTTAGAAGACTTGGACAAACAGGACGCACAGGCTGGAAAGGACTTGCGCAAATACCCTATGAAGTTGTGGTGCAAAGCTTATTTCCGTACAATAGTGAAATGTGACAGTGTGGACAATAATCTATGTGAGGCATTCAACAGCACTCTTCTTAGTTGCAGATCAAAGCCACTTATTCCAATGTTAGAAGATATGAGAGTAGCAATGATGAAAAGGATTGCAAGGAAAAAGAAAGCAGTAGAAAAATGGGCAGGTAGATCCCAAGTCTATATTTTGTGTAGTTCATCTTTTTCTTAGTTATTGATTGAGGGGGAGACTATTTTAGATCATTTATTTTCTGTATTTTAATTTATCCAGAAAAATTATTCACATACTTATCTTGAAATTTTAACCTAATGTTGAGTGGTATAATTCAGGAAACTTTGGTCCTTTAATCTTGAAGAAGCTGAATAAGAACATTATAGCCAGTTCAGGGTGGCATGTTGACTTTAATGGAGATGATGGGTACGAAATTAAGAAGGGAAGACATCAATTTAAAGTCAAACTACAAGGAAGATCATGCTCTTGCAGAAGATGGGATGTATCAGGCATACCTTGTGCACATGCAGTATGTGCTATACTGGACCATGGTCAAAACCCTGAAGAATATTTGGAAAGCTGCTACTCAAAAGAAATGTTTGTCAAAACATACTCACATACATTGCAGCCCATCAATGGTCAGATGTTTTGGCCCCGGTCAGCAAATGATGAAGATATTCAGGCCCCATTACCTAAGAAAATGAGTGGAAGGCCAAAAAAGAAAAGAATCCGTGAAGAAACAGAAGTTCCATCAGGAACTCAGCTCTCCAGAAAGGGAAGAATCATGTGTTGTTCAGTTTGCAAACAAGAAGGGCATAACAAGTCAACATGTCCATCCAACACTCAACCTGCACAGAAAGGGCTGAAGAGGGGTCCACGTGGACCAAGGCCAAGGGGAAGAGGGAGGGGACAAGGGAGTGCATCAGTAAATGAGGATGGTGGAAGAGGGAGGAATGCAACTGAAATGGGGTCTAGTGTAAGAGGGAGAGGAGGTATAAGAGGTAAAAATAGAAAAAGGGCAACTGAAAGAGGCTTTGGTATATATAATGATCCTGAAACTGGAACTACAATCCTTAATGTAAGTTATAATTATTTATATAAACTGAAGTTCACACTTGTATAATGCTTTTACTAGTAATTTGTTTATTTTTTCTTTCAGCCGGGACAACGGGGAGAAACAGTCTTGAGTGGTGATGGTGCTCCAGAGTGAGAAGATGAAGTCAAAGATGTGAAGACCATAATATATTAGTCTACTGCATATGTATTTAGGCCTGCATTGTTGTACGTTTTGGAAGTTTGGATTACATAGTCCTAACTTGTGTAGTGTACTACTTCTGTGTAGGCCAGTGATGTTTGAAACTGCAATTGGTATATTAGGTGTTTAGGTTCCTTTTTTAAGCCAACCTTTTGAAACAGAATATTGAATGTTGGTATGTTTTGGAATGGATGTAAACTTTATAACTTAATATTGTGTATTTTGGAATGTTGTGCTTTGGTATGTATTGGAATGGATTATTATGTTGGTAGCTTGTATGTATCTTCTACCTACTGAGTCTTGATAAGTTTCACAAGTTTGGTACATATGCCACTTTAGTTTCTGTTGTGCTTTTATATGGTTCAGAAGATAGGTGTGGTATGTTTGTGGTATGTTTTGCAGCAAGTTTTTACTAAACAACCTGGTAGACAACCTGGTTCAGAAGATATGTGTTGTATGTTTTGTTCTTTATGCTTCTTATTTTGAAGAACATACAATTCAGGTTGCATTGTACCACAAACAATTAATCAAATGCAAAATGAAAACAATATTTATCTGGTTTTCATGTTGTTGGTGCTCGAATGATGTGGTCATTGGACATTGGTAAGTTATTATACCCCTTTAACTACAAAATGCATTGTAGTTAAGTCCTGGATAATGTTTATATAGGAAAAGAATCCCTAACAGCTAATGAAACCCATTTTTGTGATGATGCCACTTTTATTTCTTTGTTGGGACTGTTAAAAGAGCTCTGCAATTGGACATTTACATTCTACACATTTACATTTGGACAATTACATTCTACACATTAACATTCACATTCTAGCCAAACATAGTAACCCAAAGATAACACATTATCATTGAAATACCAATACCAAAGTCAATAAACACTAGGTACAGTGGGGTACTGTTAAGTGCCCTATTACATTTACCCAACAACTACATACACACACAGGTGCTTCTGATATGGAAATACATCAATCCAACTACAACCAGTGTCAGAACTAAGCCAAATGAATACACTTTCCTAAAACATTTGGTTTTCTTCACTTCGTGTTCCAGTAGACCTCTAACATAAGTAACATCTGCTTGAAGAATACGTTGTTGACACCCAGAATTTATTCCCTGAACATCATCTCTTCTGTGCAAAAAAATTCCTTGCCCAACAAACTCATTTTCAGCGTCCACATCTTCCTTCCACAAAAAGAAACCACAGCTTTGGTCCTAAACAACAAAACATCCAACAAGCCTTATTTAACTAATTTTCAATTAAACAAGGGCTGAATTTCAGAGAAATACCTTCCATTTTTGACAGCCATAAAACTTCCGGCCGCTCTCTCGTGATGTGCAAAGAGGCGCTTTTAACTGGCAGAAACAGTACACAGGTGGTTGGTAGTTGAGAGTTCGATTTCCATTCTTTCTTCCAACGGTGGCAGATGAAGAAGACATTCCGATGGAGAACAGATCGAGCGACGAAGCGGAAAAGAAATGGGTGAACTCAGTTCAGGGGGAGATGCAGATATAGGGTTTTTCATTGGGTTACCACGTCAGCAAAACACGTGAATTATTAGAGCCAGCTCAGTTGCCACAGAAGCATTTAACCGGCCAACCGGGGGTGTACCGGCTAAATTTCTGTTTTGGAGAATTTTTTTAAGTTCGGGTGCTTGATTGGGTGATAATTAAGTACGTGTGCCTAATTGACGTTTTGGTAATAGTAAGTGGCCGTGGAAGCCCATTCGGCATTCCCCATCTGGTTCAACACCATTTCGGTCAGGTAACCAAGAAAGCCCAATCTTAGTCGAAGCCCACTTTTCCGCTCTTCGTCGTCAGCTTGCTAGGGCTTTCACTCTGATCGAAACTGAATCAACGAATCGAAGCAATAGTAGAAGAACGCTTACAGCATATCAAAATGGCGTCGTTCATCCAGAGATTTTCGTCGAAGACGAAGATAATTGGAAAGAGATCCACGAAGAAGTACTTGGACGAAGCGCTTTACAGGAAACTATTCAAGGAGGGAGGGCAAGAGAACAATGTTGGAAAACATCTGAATGAGTTCCTGAAATCTCACAAAAGCGCGTATAAATGGGAGGTCGGTCGCTCCGTCAAGCTCCTCCGGAAAAACAAGCTCTATTCCCAGGCTATCAAGGTCTGTCATTTTCACTCCTATTCTGTTCCTCAAACCTTGTGGCTTTTATTTATCTGTTTTAGCTTGCTTCAGAAATTAATTATTATTCCGGGGACTAGAAATGTAGCTAACCAAATGTGCGGAAATGCTAAAATGTCAGCCTTTTATTTTAAAAATTAAAAATGCAAATCAAGAAAATTTAAACCCGCCCTTGTTATTATGAATTGTGAAATTAGGTGTCTGTGATGCTATACTAAGGAGTCAATCAATTACTTTACGGATCACAGTTAACGTAATTTTGAATATGATCTCTGGAATTGCTCCTTACCCACACCAGTGGTAGTCAATTTCCTGCCAGTTTCTCATTGTGATGCACAAATATGCCACATAATCTGTTCGATACGTTTTATAGCTATGTTTAAGTTTCGCTCACAATCTATGTATGCCTTCTAGTTGCACAAGCACATTCATTTTTATTTTTATGTTTTATATAGATCCAAACAAAACATGGGCATAAACTTACCTTTAGTGCGGATTTTTTTTTGAAAACTCGTGAACTCTATTTGGCAGAGTACATTGAACACCATATATAATACCTAATAATGCAGCTATCAGAAAAAATGGAGAAAAGGGGCATGAATAAGACTGCCAGTGATCAAGCTATACAAGTAGATCTTGTTGCGAAAAGCAATGGCATTGCTGCGGCAGAGGCATATTTTGTTAATCTTTCAGAGGCGTCAAAGAATCATTTCACGTACAGCTCTCTTCTTAACTGTTACTGCAAGGAATCGATGACTGAGAAAGCCGAGGCCTTGTTAGATAAAATGAAAGAACTTAACTTGCCATTAACTTCAATGCCTTACAACAGTTTGATGACTCTATATTCAAAAACAGGACAGGTGGAAAAAATCCCTGCAATTGTTCAAGAAATGAAGGAAAGTGACATCGCACCAGATTCTTTCACTTACAATATCTGGATGAGGGCTCTTGCTTCACTAGGTGATGTATATGGAGCAGAAAGGGTTATAGATGAGATGAAAACGGATGGCCGAGTTTCCGAAGATTGGACCACTTACAGCAATTTGGCTTCGGTTTATGCCGATGCTGGTTTATCCGAAAAGGCCGAGAAGGCACTCAAGGAGTTGGAGAAGAAAAATGCCACCATCAGAAACCTCACTGCCTACCAGTTCCTCATCACACTCTATGGAAGAATTGGAAAATTGACCGAAGTCTACCGCATTTGGCGTTCTTTAAGGCTTGCTTTTCCGAAAACTGCAAACATAAGTTATCTCAATATGATCCAGACACTGGTTAAGTTGAATGACATGCCGGGTGCCGAGAAATGTTTCAAGGAGTGGGAGTGCGGGAAGGGACTTAACTATGACATCCGTATCGCAAATTCCCTCATTGAAGCCTATGTCAAACAAGGATCCTTGGGAAAGGCTAAAGATCTCAGAAGACGGGCTCATAGGGGTGGGGCCAAGGCAAACGCAAAGACTTGGGAGATATTTTTGGATTATCATATGAAAAAAGGCGAGATTTCTTCAGCTGTTAAGTGCATTGACAACGCGATTGCAGCTGGTAAAGGGGATGGGAAGAAATGGGTACCCTCAACTGCCATTGTTGGAGAGTTGATGAGAGAGTACGAGGCAAAGAAAGATGTTGATGGGGCAGAACGATTCGTCGATATTTTGAAAAAGGGTCAAGATCAGTTGAGTGCCGAAGTGATAGAATCATTGGTAAGAACGTATGCAGCTGCTGGAAAAACATCTGTGATGATGCGTAGGCGTGTTAAAATGGAGAATGCGGAGCTGAGTGGGGAAGCCTTGAAATTGTTGGATGATATATGTGTGGAGTGAAATTTATGAGTCCTTTAATGTTCTATCTCGATCTGAAGTGCCATCAAGGGCATCGGTTTATAGATTTCCAGGTGATGAATTTGTAGGTAGAGTTCATTGGTAGATGAAGCTGTATAACATCATATGCTCTATAGGTGAGCCATATATTCCTGCTACACTTTCTGAAATGTATTAGCGAAATTTGAGGCAGATAATCGATCAGCTTCTTGAAAATGCGACTCTGAGTGATCACGGGCTTCCATAAATGCCCTCGGCAATACCAATAACACTTGGGAGATGTTTCGTCTGATGAAATATGTTAGACTATGCTTATGCAATTCTTAACAGATTTTATCAAGTTTTAAAATCTACCCCACATGTTTATAAATGTAATGCTAAACTTGTGCCAATTGGCGTCACGTAAGTCGATTACTTTTACTTAAACTTTCAAGTTTGATTTGAATTGGTTTGGTTTGATTGATTTAAATTGTGTTGGATTTGGTATCGTCTTAGAAAGTTGGTATTATGTTAACTAATATCTAGTCTGATTTGATAAAGTATGATATTATATAATACCTCCGTCTTGTTCAAAGATTCTCGTCCACTATTCACATGGTCAACTTAAACTATTTTTAATCTTTTACGTATATATCAATTAGTTTTTATCAAATTTACATTTTGAATCTTTTATGTATATATAATACCTCCGTCCCGTTCAAATTTACATCTTTTACGTAGTTTCTAAATATGTAAATTTTATTCACTAAAAATAATCAGAGTGTGAACAGGATTAAGTTGCTTTATCGTCATTCAAGTATCGTAAACCGTAATGAGAACCTCTCTATATATGGGACGGAGGGAGTATATTTTATTACTACGGAGTACAAGTATTATCTAAGTCTAGTTTGGGCTATCCTTTTTAACTATGATATTGTCTAATCGATTTCAGTCTAGTGTTATGTAATTATACTAAATATCTAGTTTGGGCTATCCTTTTTATGCTACTCAAACACACACACACAAATAGTGTATGTAGTCTAAACATATTTAAGTAAATTATGGAGTATGTAGTATATAACAAACACATACATATAGACATATACACTGTTCAAAAAATCGGCCTAGGCGGACCGATTAATCGGCCTAGGCGGCCTAGTCGGCCCTAACCGTAGAGGCCTAGTCGGCCAAAAAATTGGCCTAGTCGGCCAAAAAATCGGCTTAGTCGGCCGCCTAGGCGCCCCTCAACTGGACTAGCGCCTAACGAGTTTTAGAACAATGGACATATATAAGAGTGCATTTCATATACATAGCTCCTGAAGAGCATCCCCGTGCGGACAAGACCATCAGAGAGTCTTCCCGGTAGAATCTTTTGATGAAATTTTTTTAGCATGTTCCTCATCAAGTCTAGTTTATCCATACCAAATGTCAGCTCAAAATTCGATCGGGAAGGCAGTTAAATAAATTCTGGAAAAAACCTGGGCATTCTGCGCACATATAATGTGCAGTATGTTTCCAGAATTTATTTGACTGCCTCGTGTTTGAATTTTGAGCTGAAATTGGATATGGATAAACTAGACTTGATGAGGAACATGCTCGAAAAATTTCATCAAAAAATTCCACCGGGAAGACCCTCTGATGGTCTTGTCCGCACGGGGCTTCTCTTCAGGAGCTCCTGATAGGAACGGGGCTCCATATATAAATGTATATATGTGTATAGTCATGGTTAATGAATTAATACATATTATGTCAGAACAATATATAATATGTAATAACTAAAAATATTTATCATAAATGTTATATGAGTTTTGAAAGTGAGAAAGTGGATACATAGAACACATATGCATATATGTGTATAATATATATAATTAATTGTATTATAATTGATGAGAAATTTGTAAAGGCATACATGATGATAATATGTTTACTTCTATATTTACTTTTATTATCTTCACATAACTTAAATTATTCAAATAAAAAAATTTAAAAATTGACGGAATTAACTTTTATCGAACACAATATTATCTAGTTTGCATCTTTTAGTGCTATATATCTATAAAATGGGTTTAAAATGTGCAAATGAAATAAATAAAATCTATATGTGGACACCCGTGGGGGAAAGGGGTGGGGCGGGGACGAGGTGGGGATGAAGGAAGCTTTTTAGATGAGACATGGGATGGGGATGGGGGAGTGAACTCCCGTCTATATGGAGTCAACTCGCCCCACCCCTTTTCACTCTCCCGTCTCCGTCTCTACAAGTAGCCATACAATCTATATGGAGTCAACTCGCCCTGTTGCCATCTCTACAAGTAGCCATACAAGCAACCCTTCAACATCCAAAATAGAGTTTGAACTATATCTTAATACAATCAAATACAAAAACAATAAAAACACTCTTTTTTCTTCACCATTTGTTTGTGCCTATTATATAAAATATTACTCCGTATTAATTTCTGTTGATCTGTGAAAAACATCTTAGTAATCTGTCAATCAAGCAAAAAGCTATGCAAGAAAATTAAAAAGGTCTGATCAAATTTACTTTGCAATTTATCCTTTGACAATTATTTAAAGTAGAATGTAAAAAGGCCTGAGATTTGTCTGTATAAGATGTTCAAGCTATATGGACGGAGTTGATAATCTCTGGCATAATGGTTTAGAGCACGACAATGTCTTTCAGCATCAATCCATGCATTATAAAAATCCTAGCTTTGAATAAGGTTAATTTAGATATATGAATTATTTTTATTTTTTTAATCAAGTGGAGTGAATAACAATTTGAGGACCGTGAATAGAATTACTCATAGACAAATAGTTCATGTTGGGTATTAGGCTCATCAGGAATATCCCATATACGACCCTAAGGAAAGAAATTTGATTCATCCGAATTTCCACCCCACTCCTGCTATAATATTCTCTCATTTTTCAAATGATGGAATTGTCTAATAAAATTTATTAAGATTCCGAAGAAATGAGTAAACTATATAATCCGTAAATTTTTCTTACAATTACTCAATTAGATGTGAAAAGCATTTTGTATTGTCCAAAACGGGTAAAACACTTTGCCTAGGAGTATTTGCACCTTTCCTTGACCTGTTTGGAAGTTGGAACGTGAGAATCAGCAAAAGTCTACAGCTTTATTCAGCATAGGCCATGCAGCTAACTAGTATTGTCTATCCGTGTGAAAAATAACGACAAAATACTATGAACAAATCTGTTTGAATGCTTTCCAATTTAAATATCGAAACTAATTAATTGCATTGTTGTATATATGCACTCTTTTTATCTTACAGATTTCTATTCAAACTTAACAGGGCGGAGCCAGAGCACTGAGCCACATTGAGTCGATACAAAGAATATTTTTGAAAAAAAAATAGACCGGAATTTTTTTACAATAAAAATTAATGTATTTTTAAAATTTTGGGTGGGCCAGGGCCTAGGTTGGCCCACCCTAACTCCGTCCATGAATTTCAAAGAGGTTTCTCTCTAAATGTACAAATAATGAATTTGTACTTGTATTGAATTATTTTAACAAGGAGATACGATTTTTTGTATCTTCTAACTTATTATACGATCATACGGATTAGTATTTACTCAATGTTAAATGTCAATATTTTTAATTGGAATAAATTTCAAATATGTAACATGTCATAGAACCACAATTTACTTGATAATGGTTACACACTAGGTAATGATAATAGAACAAAAATGTATATCACAATATTAGCCCTCGACGTACAATAAAATAATGGTTATGTTGCATTCTTATTGTTTATCCAATCAATACAACTTTCTATAAATTATATAACTTGCGTGTGTAGTTCAACGGTTGCTGAGTGAAAACTATTGGGGTGAAGTCTCAAATCTAATCATTGCATTGAATTAGTGATCATGTGAGAGTTTCATTCAATGTGATGTTTTCGTGTGTGCATTAGGCCCTGAATCAGCTCACTCAGAAACTATTTATGATCGATCATATATATCATTTATTCCTTCATCATTTTGTTGGGTCGATCGGAATGTGAGGACACTAGGTAGGGGTGGACGATTCCATTTTATATTTTAATTACGGAAAAATAATTAAAAGTACCTCAAACTTTGAAGGAGAGTGAGATAAACATCCCAATTCAAACATGCATATGCAATTTAACACAATAAATTTACATTTTTGAAAGACATAATACATGATAATGGTGCTTAAATAACTTTTTAATTATATAAATTTTGGAGTATTTAAATTACATATGAAAGTTTGGAGTGTTTATCTCACACCTCGTTTAGAGTTTGGTGTGTTTTTAATTATTTTCCCCTTTAATTATATAGACTTAGCGGAGATATTTATTAATGAGACCCCTACAAATGGCCATCTCCATTCAAAATGATAGGAAGTATCAAATTTTGATAAACTATAATGCATTCCTTACTTTTTCAAAATTTTGAAAAACTTAAGGATGGGATAACATCTATTATTAATAAAAATAATACTTCCTACGAAATGATAAGCTCACTTGAAATATGAAGGTAAAGGTGTAGCACAATTGGTAAAAAAGATTTTTAAAAGCATATCAAATTAAACCTTTTCCTAGCAGGCGGGGCCCATACTACTCCATAGGTAAGAAATACAAGTATAAGTTGAAAAATCTGTTCGACTTTTTGTTCAGTTTTTAACATGCTGATATCATTCCATGCTCACAAATTACTACCAGTAGTATAATGAAACATCGAGAAATGATTTTTTATTGGAAACAGTCTTTGAATTGGATCGAGCATTTGAGCTCATAATATAAACTCAATATATAATATATTACTCCGTACATTGATAACATCATACATCATATAAATTTTAGGAAAAATTGATAGTAATAATCCCAATTATTGGCGGTCCGCTCATAATAATCCCAACTATTGATTATTACAGAATCACTAGTGGAAAAATGCCAAACAGAGGCGCTTCATTTGAGGCGCTTTTACCTACAAACGCCTCTCATTTCCGATATTTTTCGTTTTGCTTTTTTTTTAATCAACCGTGCGGCACTTCTAGAGAATAAACGCCTCTAAAATAAATTTCAGTTATATTTATTTATGATTTTTATTCCGCGTGCGGCGCTTGTTGGATCATAAACGCCTGCATTATTAAACTGATTTTTTTTAAATTGAAAACCGAGAGGCGTGCGGCGCTTTAGTAAAGGAAGTGTTTGGGAAATATAAAAAAATAAAAACTGAAACGTGCGGTGCTGATTGAGATAAGGTTTGTAAAGTGTTCAAAAATTAAAATCCAGGTCTGCACAATCGATCCACATCTCCAGATCTACTGCCGCAACCGACCGTTCGTTCATCGCGGCTCTGCCTCCGACTCCTCTGTTATCTCCGTCCTGCCGCCGCCTGCTGGAATATCATCGTCCCTTTGCCACCTGCTCGACTATCGCCGTCCCGCCTTCGTCTGCTCGAATTTCGCCGCTCCGCCTCCGTCTTCTCGACTATCTCAGCCTCGCAGTCCCCCCTGCTCAGCCGCAAC